ATTCTCTCTTCCATCTCTTGTATTCTGCTCTTTATGCTTGCATTTGTGGTTTATGATCATTTACCCATAATTTTCATTTCCAGAATTTTCTCTGTTTTTTTTTCTTTATTGTCTCTATTTCTGTTTTCAAGTCTTGTTTTTTTATGTTTGATTGTCTTTTTCTTAATTTTCTTTAAGGGTTTTGTTGATTTCTTCCAATTTTTTGTCTGTCTTTCCCTCTAATTCTTTGACAAAATTTTCATTTCCTCTTTAAAGACCTCAATAATTTTTCTAAAGTTATTTTTACGGTCTTTTTCTTCTGTTTCATCTGTGTTGGAATTTTCAAGTCTTGCTGTCTAGTTTTGAGGTGCCATTTTCCTCTTTGGGTTGTTGAGTGTATTCTTATCTTGTTGTCTACCCATCTTTTCCTCCAGTTGATGTAGTAAGGTCAAGGTTCAGATGGTCATTCCTTGAGGTGGAGTCGGGGTTTTAGTTCCAGTTGCTCAGTGCTCCCTTGATTTTTTTAAGACACAGGGTCTTAGAACTTGTCAAGTCTGGTAGGCTGACAGACTTGCAAACTCTAGGATTCTATGTGGCTTTGCTCCACAATGACATGTGCCACCATGTCAACTTTATTTCCTATAAGCTACATGGATGAAACTTTGGTCCTAAGGCTTGGGAGGCAAAGCACTTCACCAGCAGAGCTATTTCCCCATCTTTGACTTTGTCTTTCATATGCCCAAGAAGGTGAGCCGTGTCAATGTTTCATATGTGACTTGTGATAGTTTTAATGGAGTTGGACTTTTATTGTAAATGGGACTAGAACTCACAATATAATTGACACCCACGAGTATTTAACACATCTTAGAAAAGCCCCTGGCACAGTGTCTGCAGCCAAGGAAGGTGGTGTTCATCCTGTGGGGAAACTTGCTGAAATGTCAGGCTTCCTTGAATGGCTTCAGGATTTGGCAACCTTTCAGGCTGAACGTGTGGCAGTAGCACGTCTTCCTCCTCTTCATATGACCGGAAACAAGGCAAGGAACTTTGAGAAGGCATGTCACATGCCCACAAGGAGAGAGGATGCTGACATTCACAGGTGTGTAAATGAGTATGGATAAACAGAAGTGCACAGGAAGACACTGTAGCCAGCTGAATGGCGCAGTCAAAGCTGAAGATGTCAGCTTTGGATTCCTGGCTGAGATGAAGAAGCTGCAATTTTTTCCTTCCCACAGTAGCAGAATTCAAACAAGGGCAAACTACTTGGATTCTAGTTCATCTGAATGCTACCACGGGTCATCAGAATGAAGGCACTAGTTGGGAGGCCAGCTCCACTTCTGAAGGTGGTACAGCCAGCGTTCGGCTCTCCTTGTCTTCTACGCCCTTCACTCCATCAGTGTCCTTTTGATGCTGTCTCTCCACACTTGGTCAATACCACGCTCGGCACATATTCCATAAGAATTCCATATAGAGGAGTGGCCGAGAAGTTTCTGCCCTTGCCACGATGACAGCTCAGGTGAGGAAGCCTCCGAAACACCAATTAGCTGGATGTGAACTTAATTAAATCTCATGTGTAATTTAATTCTGCCTACATCAGTCGGCACCAAAGTAAGTTATAACTTTGTCATTATCCAGAACATTGGTGGCCTTGTGAATCTTATTTATGTATATGTAGCTAGTTCATAAATAATCTACAGAAATATAACCTTATCTTTTACATTATGAATTTTTTAATGACTTGCTGCGTGTTGTAAGAAGTGTTTAGCACACTTTCGTGAGTGCTGGCTTGATGGTATCATGTGACACCATTAACTGGGGACAAAGAATTCCACCATCTCCACAGAGGAGTACATTTTCATCCATCTTTTCTGGCGCTGTTTCTGTGGAAAGCCCTGTTATTTGTTGGGTCAGAGTAGATACTTGGTTAAACCTATACCAGATTGTCATTATACATCTGTTTTTTCTTCCATATAAAAAGTCTGTTTCCTGTGCTACTTACACTATCCTTGGAGTATTAAATCAAGGCATCATTATTTCCCTAAATTAAAATACAAGTTAGAAGAAATTTATTTCGGAAATAAATAAAGCTGCTTGCAGTTTTATTAGGTGAATACACCCTGGTTTTCCTAAAAGAGTTTTCAGTTTGTGCTTATCGTCATTAGGTTTAGGTTGGCTATGTGCGCTTTCGTGTGTTTGTGTGTGTGTGTGTGTGTGTGTGTGTGTGCGCGCGCGCGCGCGCGCGCGTGTGCACACATGCGCAGGCGCCTATCAGAGGTCAACAATGGCTGTCATTCCTCAGGTGCTTTTTTTTTCTCTTTTTGGTTTTGTTTTTGAAATAGGGCCTCTTGTTGGTCTGGAATTCACTAAGAAGACTTTACTGGCTGGCCAGTGAGCCACAGGGGTCTTTCCATCTCTGTCTCCTTAGTGCTAGAATTACAAACATGCACCAACACACTTGGCTTCCCCCCCCCCTTTTTTAAAATATGGGTTCTGGGAACCAAACTCAGGTCTTTATGCTTTCAAGACAAGTGAAGTATGTTACAAACTGAGCCATCTCCTCAGGCCAGCTTGGTCTTTGTTTTAGACATGAGTGCTCCAGTTTGAGCGACAATTTGAGCAACAACACTTTAAGCAACTCCCTGGTTGAACACTGAGTATAAAATTCTATGCCCTGTGATTTTATTAGCCTTTATGCTCCCTTTTCTTTTTATTTTCATTTTAGCAATTGTTAGATGCCATTCTGGATAGTTTTGCATCTACTTGACACATGCTAAAGTCATTTGAGAAGAGGGAACATTAATTTTAAAAATTCCCCCATAAGATCAGCCTTAGGCAAGCTTATAGGGCACTTTCTTAATTAGTGATGGATAGGGGAGAGCCTACAACCCCCATCCTCTGAAGTGGGTCAGATTCATGTCCTGGAGACATGGCTCTCCAGTAGCACTCTGGAAACCACTAACCTGTCCCCTTCCAGAAGACTTGATGTTTCCAACTTGTTTTTCTGGAGCCATCTCTCCTGTGGTCACAGAGACCCCACCCCAGCAGGCAGCAGAGCCCTGTGGTCCCCACCAGATAAGCTGGAAGAGCCAAGGACAAGGACCACATCATTCCTTGCCCCTGTGAAGGGTTAGCTCTTCAAGCACACAGTCTTGGAGATGTTTCAGAGTTTCTGAACAGCTCACAGAGTTCAGTTTCAAAAGCAGTAAATCGTTTGTAGAAATAGAAAATACAAATTCAGTTGGACATCCCACCAGCAACAAATAAAATGAGAAAATGCTTGTGTGTGAACCAAGTAGAGGTGTCTTAGTGGAAAAATTGGTTAAAAAAAATTTATCCTCAAACTGTGAAGTTCAGTAGGAATATAATAATGTGGGAAAATATAGAATGGATGCAATTCTAGTTTGAAGATGTTTATAGAAGTATTACTCATAAAATAGCCAACCCCTCATTAAGCTATGTAAAACACAAATAGCTGATTAATTTATAAAATATTGAAAGCAATAACTTATATTTAGAAGTGTTATATTTAGGAATTGTTTCTTTTCCAGTGTAAAAATGCTGGCTAACAAGTCCAGTAGAAGCACCGAGTGATTTTCTTGTTTTCTCAGTCAACATTTAATTGACAGAGAAATGTTCTCCTGGGTATATTTGTCTTGGATTGGGATTCTTTTTTATTATGATTTTTTCCATTTACTTTACATCCTGACCAGAGTATCCCCCACCCTCTCTACCCATGGACTTTACATGTGTTGGGTCAGCGCCTTCTGGGATCCCTAGCAGCTCACAGATAAGAAGGTCATCAAATGAATCCCACCTCTCTGATGAGGACTGAGAACTCAACAAGAATGATCTGGTAGTTAGAGTAGGGATGTTGCAGATCCAGAGCCAAATCAGCCTAATCTTTCTTTAGGTCCCTTAATAACCACTCACGACTCCTTCTATCTCTGACCTATTATCCTTATGACTCTCAGGTAAATCCTTTTAGGATTGATGATGTAGGTGGGTCTTATTTCTATGTGTTGCTTTCATTGGTCAATTAATAAAGAAACTGCTTGGCCTGATAGGTCAGAACATAGGTGGGTGGAGTAGAGAGAACAGAATGCTGGGAAGAAAGGAAGAGAGGCAGATGCCATAGCTCTCCTCTCCGAGATGGATGCAGGTTAGCATCTTCCCTGTAAGCCACCACCCCATGGTGCTACACACATTAATAGAAATGGGTTAATCAAGATGTGAGAGTTAGCCAGTAAGAGGCTAGAGCTAATGGGCCAAGCAGTGTTTAAATGAATACAATTTGTATGTTGTTATTTCGGGTGTAAAGCTAACCATGCGGGAGCCAGGCGAAATGAAAAGCAGGCCTGCTCACCTCATCACTACAGATTGATTAATAGACCATGAGCTGCCACCAGCTCCCAAGCTGAGAACACCACTGGATAAGATGTGGAACCGTCAGTAGAGATTTCCCGACTTTGTTAGACACAACCTACATGATGTTCCATCACCGTATTTGGAAAGTGTCTTTATCTATGAATTTCTTTGTTCTGTTACCATAGAAACTTCAAGAGACTGTTACCACACTGGGATAAGGTATTTGTGGAGAACTTTTACCTAGACTTCCAGCCACGGTTACTGAAATTTGACTCCAAAGCAAACTCTCTTATTCCCTTGGAGATGAAAACTACGCTGTTGAGTCAACAGCATCACCTGACAAGATGATCCCAAGTCACATAGGCCTCTCTCCATCCTAAATCCCCTCTGGGCTCACACAGTCCTCTCTAAACACCTGCTCAAAGCACATTTTCTACTGGATACATCCCACAGACCACATTTATCTACATTTAAACACAGACAATCAGAACAGTCCTCGAATGTGTTTCTTCATAAATAAGGAGCATTGAGTTCACACGTGGGTCAGAGTCTGCCAAATTCAGCTTGACTCTCACTAGCATTTTCCTATCTAAATTTCACAAAAGGAAGCGTCCACTTTGGGGATTTGTTATCCTACTAGGCTGAAGGCACACACCTACCTGGTCACAGGGAGAACAGCATTTATTCGCCATCTTCATCTGTGGAGGGAAGACAGCAAGGGGTCAGTGTGCCACACACATCAATTCCTTCATTTTTCAGCCTGTCTAAATGGCAGCTCAAATTAATCAACCCAGGACACTTCCTTGGAAGATTTTTTTTTCCTATATGTTGGACTTACCTTCAAACCAGAGCAAACACACACTTGACCACAGTCATTCTTGAAGCAGGTAAATAATGAAACAAAAGGAAGTGTGGAGACACACTGATGTCATTGTTCCCAAGTGTCAGCCATTGAAGTGAGGGCAGCTGAGGGATGACAAATGCTTAAACACATGAGAAGAAAGAGGGAGGATGGCCTCTGTGCCACAGCATCTAACTACAATGACCAGTGACTACAGTGGATAGTTGAGTCTTTACTCCTTTTCCCAAACCCTGTAGATGTCACTTTGAATAATTTTACCAGTGAAGAAATGGTGGTCCTGAAGAAGATACACCCAAGACTGTGAGCCCACATGTCTGTCCTGTCATGCAGCCCAGGAGTCAGCTTCAATAGTCATCCAATCAGGAGCACCCTGTACTGATCGATATTTCTTCAGATGCCAATCAAACCCCACCTGCCTATTTTGGCTTTACTTATTTGTCTATTTAATTATTTAATTGAAAAAACCTATCCATCTAGACCCTAGGGATTCAAAGTATGGAATATTAAAACCAAGTACATAGGAAGGTGCTTCTTTATACATTGGTAGAAAGATGGCTCTTGTGTCTTCAGAATAGAAATCTTGCCCATCACTACATCCCTAAATATCTCAGATTATTCAACCAACTTCTGTCTAGCCATGGGCAGGACAAGGCAGGGGGTGAGCAATGCGGGGAGAGCAGGCATGCGAGGGTGGCTCAGAGTACCACAGGTTGCACCAAGCTGAGGAATGGGACACAAACACACAGCATGGGTATTTGGAGGGGGTGAGGATGGAAGCTGGGCCAAGCCTTTGGTTATGGGGCCAGCCCTGCCATACCTCCATAGCTACAGCTTGTCATTCTTCACCAGAGACTTAAGAAGGAGCGGATGTTGTCCTTCTCCCACCCATCTCTATTCATTCCTTTATATACAAATCTTACTGACTTTGAACACTAAACCTATCACCCAAGGGCACTGGATACTTTTTTTCTGACCTAGATGCCTTCAGTGAGACACAGCGTATGTTTTTGGATAGGTGTGGCCTTTTTATTTTTTAAAAATAAATGTTCATTGGAATAATGGCATTCTCCAGGGGGGAAAATGCTCATGATTTGTATGTGTGTGTGTGTGTGTGTGTGTGTAAGTTTGTGCTCATGTACATGTGTATACATGTGTGCATATATTTGAGAAGCTCAGAGAAAATTAGGGTATCCAGAAAGTACATATCATATTTTTATCCCAGTTAGTAGTTTATCCAAATAAAACTGCCACATTGAATTTAACACATTTAGATTTATACACACACACACACACACACACACACAGAGAGAGAGAGAGAGAGAGAGAGAGAGAGAGAGAGAGAGGGAGACAGAGAGAGAGAGAGAGAACTGTATGTGTGTATCGAGAAAGATGAGAAGGATGGAGACAGAGACAGGGAGAGAATTAGCCTGAAAGTTTCCAAATGTCTATATCTAGACACATTTTAATAGCTTAAGTTTTAGTTATTTGAGTTGGATATTTGATCTGTTGAAACACGTATACGTTCTGCATGCAGACCAAACCTTGCAGTGGGTTAATCAAACTTGGAACATTCTCATCACTACTGCTAATGGAAACATGGAGGGAGTAAGTCCTGGGCCAGATGCTCACATGTTGAAGCGTCAGGTCACTGATGTTGGCTGAGATTGCACGCAGCCAGTCCGCACAGTCCTGGGCAGTGGAGAACTGAAGGACTCCTGTGCTGGTTCCATCCAGGGCCAGCACCTCAAATGCACTGGACCTACAACAGAAGAGAAGACACCAGGGAGGCTGTCACCTGGGAGAGAATGATGCTGCTCCGGTCCATCCAGCAGGAGACAGGTGCTTCCAGTCCCTGCTGCCCTAGGCTCAGCCGTGATACACCTAGGAAAGAACAGACAGTCCTACTCTCCTAGACAACAGGCATAATAGGGTAGCTTTACCAAAACGAAAATCCACACTGAATTTCCTCACTAGGAACCATTTCTAATACAACAGGAACAAGGAAAGCAGGGCAGATGGGGATGAAGCCTTGTTCTGTCTGAAATCTCAGAGTTTCTATTTAATAGAAACTACAGCATCTTAACTGTAGTTGCTTTGAAGCTCATTTACCTCATGGAACCTAGCGTGACATCAGACAACACACTGAGTGCTGACTGGGACTGGAACTTCCCCGTGCATGTACTTAGGATGGACCGTAGGGCTCTGGAGAAGCTTCAGGTCCTTGCTTTGGTGTGAACACGGGGCATGACTGATATTAGGCTGACTTAATCCCAGCAACTTTCCTTATGGAGAAGTCCTTAAGTCCCATATTGCACATGCACAGTCTGCTCTAACCTGTGCTGTAACAACCTCTCAGCTATTGGTCCTGCTACGCAAGAGGAGGGCTTAAAGGAGGAGGTGGACCAAGACCTTCCTGGGTGTGAGCAGCTCTCAAAACAGCTTCCCAGGAGTGAGCGATCTTTCTTTATAAAATAGGTATCTCCCCTGCTGTCCCCACCTTAATTGGCACTTCTTGAATGAAAATGAAGCATCTAATTGTTTCCAGCTGACTTTTCAGCCTGGTGGAGTATGAAGGGTGATGCGTGTAGTTTTGAAAACCTTGCCAGAGGATGAACCTACAGGGAAGGCACGGGCAACCGACAGGATGGCTTAAGAAATGGACCAGGCATTTTTACTACAGCCTTTACATGACTGTTTCTAGTTGCTTCTTTCCCTTGTATCTTCTTAGTTGAGCTATTTGTCTCTGACTTCTCTATTTCAAGGTTCCCTGTTCCCTGTGTAGCTGCCTCAGATATGCATGTTCTATGACAAACTATCACTTTCTCTATGTGGCACTGAACAGCATTAAAAATACGTCCTTGGGTTTATTTTGGACATTGCAAGGACATGGACTTCATTCTAACTGCAAGAGGAAATCACCAGGAGGCTTTGAGCAAAGAAACAGCATGATCGGAAATGGATGATAAATTGACAAAGAAAGAAAAAAAAAAATGTATCAAAAATGGGCCGAAGGGACAGTGGGGAATGAGAGAGGACTAGTAACTGCTGGAGTAACCAGGCAAGGAGGATGCTTAGGAAAGGCAGCCTGGGGAGATGGCTGAAGACGGGAAATTAGTCAAGAGATTGGACTCAGATCATGGGAAGAGAAAAATCAACAGTGAAAACGAGGTTTAGGTGCATGCACAGAAGCATAGCTGGGATGATCAGCAGTTGTGCCGGAGTAACTGGACCCAAAATGTGAAGAACGCCAGACCAGGGACACAGTTTGGGCCATCTGTTTGCTTGCGATGCTTCCTGAGTAGAGCTGGGAGTGGGTGGTGGAACAGTCATGTGTGGGCACTAGGGACGCGTCTTGTCTAGAAATGGAAAATAGGAGCTGTCCACCCTGCAGGGTCAGGCTGTGAGGAGGAGAGAGCTCACCAAGGAGCAGCTTGCAGAGTGCAGCAGCTGGAGAGAGAAGCAACCAGCAGAGGGACCACCAAGACTGATGAGTAAACAGGAGATGCTAACCAGACATTCGTCCCTAAAAACCAGCACCCCAAGGAAGGTTTCTGCAACAGAAATAAGTGTTGGTGTGCTGATGTTCTCTGTACAGCCAACGTGAAGACTTGGAGTCCTGCTGCCTCCCAAATATAGAAAATACTGTAGACCAACAGATGTGTAAATCACAGCACAAAAAACATGTAGAAGCAAGGCAACCAGGCTCTTCCAAAAGACCAAAGTGCCTCAACTACCAAGCATACAGATACTAAAATAAGCAAAATGTCAGATTAATATTCTAAGCTTTCTTGTGAAAATGATTGAAAACCTGAAAATGGATACAAAGGTGATAAATTCAGTCTAGAACATGAAGCAGGTCTCAGAGAGAAGTGGAGCTGGATACAATCCCTCTTTATCCCTCAGACAAACAGCAAAACAAGCAGACTCCAGGGTTCTAGTCCTCATTTTTCAGTGGGGAGAGCACCATCCACCTAGGGTGATGTCAGAAGACCTTTGGGGATGGAGTCAAGTCTAGCCCTTGTCTGGATCTGAATAGAATCTTAGTAAATAGTGGCAATGGGACCAATAGAATTCGACAGGATTTGATTATGTTTTATGAAAGTATTATGTAAAATATATTATACATCAGAGGAAAACTCCAATGAAGGCTGTGGAAAGTGGATGGAGCCTGCCACAGTGTACTTGAGTTCTTCCTGGAAATAACAGCCCCTGCCTCTCTTTCTTCAAGCTTCTGGAATGTCATACAGAGCTCCTTCTGCATCCAGGTATCCTGAGACCCAAAGCCTGTGCCTACTCCAGCAAGGTTTGAGATCCCCAAGATGCTCCTCCTCCAGGACAGGGTTGTTTCCCAGGGAGCTGGAGCATTCACCTGCATGGTCATCAGGCCTCATATACAACTAACTGCTATTCACTCTCACTGAGCCATGCAAAGCCCATGTAGGGCTGAAGGGACAGTAGAATCTCAAGCAGCAACTCCTTCCTGAAGGCTCTGCATTCTCTGCTGCTGTCCACCCAATCTCAAGGCAACACCCATATCCATTTTAGTAACCACACAGAAAACTGCTTATGTCTTCCTCAGATGAAAACCTTTTATACTGCCTCAAAGTCAGTTGAAGACAATGTATTGATTCTACAACAGAGTTCAGTAATGGGGGCAGGATATGCATTTGTCTGTCAATCAGAGTCCTCATTTTTAAACCTGCATCCTTATTTGCATCACAATTCCTAAACTTGTTATTTTTTATTGTGTTCCACTAGAAGTCTCCTTTTCATTGCAAGATCAAATGCTAACTGATGTTCCAAGTGTTTTCTGAGAAGATGTCATCAACAAATATATTGGCTTTCTGAAGGGTCTCCTGTACCAGGGAACTGCACTGTCCAGATGCTCGTGGAGCTGGGACAAGCTATGATTCATCCACACCAAGCACATTGCTCAACATAGAAACAAACCCTCTGGTCACTTGTGCCTTTCTGTTTCATGAGGATACTGGCAGGAAATTGCAAACAAGTTCCTAGCCATGTTGTGTTTAAATTCTGCTCCAAGGAGCCTCCGGCAATGTTTTCTGGCTGGTATTCTACTGATTTTTATAGAGGTGAGAAAATGAGGAAAGGTTTTCATTGAGCGCAGTGGGCAGAGATGGGGGGGCAGTTCAAGGCTGGTCTCAGTTATAGATATGTCAGACCCTGTCTCAAGAAGAGAAGGAGAGGGATAGAGAGAGGGAAAAGGAGAGATGAGAAGAGCCCTCTCTTAGCTCCTGATAGTGAAGCTGTCTGGTCTGGAGAAACTGTAAGATCCTTGTGCACTGAGAGGAAGAGGGGGAGAGGGAGGGAGAGAGATAGAGAGGAAGAGAGGGAGGAATGGAGAAAGAGATGTAGAAAGAATCCTCAGATATTAAAAAGGCAAGAATATAAAATCTTATGTCCCTCTCCTATTTCTATCTTTTAAAGATTTAATAAATTCTTTTTCATATACATGTGTTCATGTACATGTGTGGATGGATACCCCTGAAAAGTAGAAGGGGGAGTTGGATCACCTGTAGCCAGAGTTACATGGGTGCCCTTTCAATGTGTTTTCAAACAGGTCAACAGCGTGCAAAGAATTCTTATGCTTTTTCAAATGACATATTAATTCTCCCTGTATTTCTCTGTAAGTCTTTGAAGTAGAAGGTTTAATAATATGGGGGAAAATCTGAAGATGCTCACACATTCTATAAACAGTCGAGGGAGCCAGCTAGCAGTGACCCTTCCTTTTGTAAATAAAACATGGTGCATCAGTTTTCGAACAGTGCATTGGCGTTACCTTCACTGTATGAAGAAGGGGCCACTACTGAGATTTAGAAACTGATGTGTACGTGCTAATCGCTTACCCAAGCTGACTTATCAGCCCAGGCTGGCAAAGGCAAGGACTCACAGTCAGGTCAGGAGAAAGGAGGGGCTTCTGACTCCAGTCCTCTCTTAGCTTCCTGACAGTAAGATGTCTGATCTGGAGAAACTGTAAGATCCCTGTACACTGAAACCATAGCAACTGCTGTTTCCAGGGGCACATGGTTCATTCTTCCCCAACCTCACAATTCATTTGAACCTGGTTTCTGTTTTGGGTTTGGTTATACTATGTTGGTTACCATGGCCAATGGCTGTCATTTTACTCTTTCCTTCTGGGGCAAGACCGCAGCTGCAGACTATAGATGCACAGGAGTCAAACGCTGCCTGGGAAAACCGGCAGAAGCTTTGAACAGGACCTTATCTAGGCAAAGAAAAAGAACACCTCTATGCTACAAAACTGATACGGGGAGAACACTTTATTTTCATAGGATCAGATCTAAGCTGAACAAGAAGCAGAATGCATTTGCAAAGTGCAGCTTGAGGTTTCTCCTCTCCACTCTGCACAGGCAAGACAGTCTGTGCCAGAAAAGGAATCTGGGCAGAAGAGTCTCCTTGGGAGAGACTTGGTCTTTATGGGTGACAGAGTAAAGGTCTATAGACATCATTGTCCTTTTAAAGACCCCATTGGGAGCTCTATTACCACTTCTTAGATATGAGATCAAAGTGGGCAGTTCACCAGAGAGTTACGAGGACCAGCCACCCTAGCTGATCTGGGACCCCACAGTCCATGGTGGAAGGCAGATTGCTGATGCTGTCAGGTGCCTGGCCTGTGCAGCTTTGAGTTCAGACTGAAGGAGCTAGAGTGAGCCCTGAGGTCACTTCACACACTGGGACAGAGTCTGTGCCTCTAGAACCTTCTTCATCTCCTCTCCCAAC